GGAGCATATTTTAAAACCTGATAGGAAAGATCCAGATTCTTTTTGAGCAACTTAATTCTCCACCTTTTTTTTTTTTTTAAAAATATTTAAGGTGTTATTTTAAGGGTTATAAATTTTGTATTTTTAGAGAGAGAGGGAGAGAAGGATGGATGTGAGACACGCTGATTGGCTGCCTCCTGTAAGCGCCAGAGGGGGATGTAAGCCGCCACCCTAGGCTAGGTGCCCAGATCACATTTGAACCCGCGACTTTCCGGTGCCCGGGAGGACGCTCCAACCAACCGAGGCACAGCGGCCAGGGCCAGTCTCCACTCATTTCTGAGTGCAGGGGCCGAAGGAAGCCGGAGCCGCTAGACACAGCAAAGCTCAAGATCTTTACAGTCACTGCAATGCCAGCGCCAAAGCCTTGGGTCAAAGGTTTCCCACTGCTGTAACTCGGGGAAAGCAGGATAAGGGGAAACCCTGAGAGGCGGGCGGGGGGAGGACACGAAAAGCCGCGGCGAGGCCCAGAGACCCCAATCCGGATCAGAGCGAGCCCTCGGGGCAGGGCCGGCAGGGGGGAGGTGCTCGCGCCGGCTGGCCCCGGGCGGAGAACCCGCGTTTGGGGGAGCCCTCCCCCTGGACCTCCAACACTTCCGCTCAGGAGCTGGCACCCACCACCCAGCACCGGCGAGGACGGCCCACCCCACCGGCCGCACCTCAGCCCCCGGGCCCGCCGGGGGGCTGCCCTCAGGCGGGGCGGCGCCCGGGCGGCGGGGGGGGACGCCACCCTCCGCCCTGGACGCCAGCCCGCAGCCGGGCGAAAGCGGCCGCCGACCCACCCTGGGCGCTGCCCGCCGACGGCGGCCCCGGCAAACAGGAAAGCCCGGCGGGCTGGCCCAGCCCACGGTCCCCCCCACCCTCGCGGGTGGCAGCTCACCATTTTCCTTCCGGCAGTCACCTTCCCTCGGGCCCCTTTAAGAATGGCACCGCTGCCGCCTCCCTTCCTGTCCCGACGCCCGGCAGAGCCACCCCCACCGGCCGACGCGGCCCGGAGGGCCGGCACGTGACCGCGGACGGTGGGAGGCGCGGCTCAAAATTAGCCGGACGCGAGCGGTCGCCCGTAAGCTCCTGCCTGACCGTGATTGCGCAACCGTGCCAAAAGGCGCTCTTTAACATTCAAGATCAATACAACTCAATTCAATTCAATAGCGTTCTCTGTATCAGTGTTTCTCAACTTAAGCATATTGGCATGAGAGCCCAATAATTCTCCACTGTTTCGCCCTGTGCATGGGAGGATGTTTAGCAGCATCCCTGGCCTCTCTACCCACAAGAGGCCAGCAGCACCGCCCCAGTTGTGACAACCAAGAATGTGACCAGACTTTGTCAAATCTTGCAGGAGACAGGAGTGGGAAATCACCGCAGTTGGGAATCACTGTTATAACCGGATGTTCTGAGCCTTGGGCCACAGACTAAGTGCCATATTAATCTCTTATGTGAGCTCATTTGGAGCAGGCTTCAGGTAGCCTCCTGCCACTTAAAGTATATAGATGACAGAAGCCCAGCATCTAAGCCCAGGGGAGTTTCTTACTAGAGGGATCTGCAAGTTCAATGGGTTCAAAGGGTTAGGCTCTGCTTAGGTACCAAACGATTTTTCATAATCCCTGTCATCTCTGGGCTCATACTCAAATGACATATTCATTCCATTCTGTTGTGCAGTGACTGCCTCAACATTTGAAACTCAGTTATGACACTTATTATATTCCCACTGGTGTCTCCAAAATAGAGATAAATTTGCCCTCTAGAAAATAATGTAGGACATTAAAAAGGCCATATAAATGGATGAATGGGTTGGCATCTGCAAGAAAAAGGTATAATGAAGACAATAAAATTTGAAACATGTTAATAAATTTTGCATTTTTCTTGTGAAACGGTCTCCTTGATTGTCCAGGAGCATCTATCAGCTTCCAAGGAGAAACATAACTGTGATGCTTGGAATGCAAAAGAAAAACAACTTTTGACTACCAAAATAAGACTTTTGAGTGCCAAGAAACAGTAGTCTTGAAAAAAAAAACAAAACACAAAAAACAGACATTACTAAGAAAGAACGGTTTTAAAAAATTTAAAGCTCCATTCACTTCAAAATCCAAACCTTGGCAAAATTAAAAGTGCCATTTAGTATAATGCCACATGGTAGAGAAAATGGAGGCTACGACATAAGGAAAGCACCTGCTGAGTGGGAAGAAGGGAGAGTCTTTCCACTCTGGTCTGGTGGAGGGTGGATGGAGACAGAGCTTGAATAAGCGCAGCAGGCAGGAATTCCTAACCTGTTCTGGCTGAAGTCTCAGAAGGTGGGGGTTGGGGGTGCAGACCAGGGTGAGATAGTAGTAAAGCATCCAAATATATGTGGTATTAGAGAACCTGTAGAGAATTGGTTGTCTACTCCACTAAGGAAGAAGGAGGGGCCTTGCATTTGGCTCTGTGCCCCTGAACATGACTCAGGAACAATGGCAGGGCTGGTCTTGTTTGGTAGCCTGAAATAATTGCTGGTTTTCAGTGGCCTGCAGGTGCTACATGGGAGAATCTGCATATTCATACATCCCCTCAGGAAGTAAAATTGGAGATGCTGAACAGTCTGGTGAACAGTAGAGCTAAGATGTCACAATGCAGTAAGGCTTTACAACCAGAGGTAAATGGCTGGAACTTTTGGTCTCAGGTGTGGTCCCAGCTGGAGCTACAAAAGGCCAGATGAAACCTGCTTTACCTTAGTGAGGACTCACAAGTGTTGTGCAGAGCTCAGACCTCTTTTTTCCAACCCTATCATGAGGTCATGTGAATACTCATGAAGCAAGAGGGAGAAGTGAGAGGAGAGACTAAGAATTTTTCTGAAAGAGACCATCTACCTAAAGGGGCAGTTAAACCTGAGGATACTAGGATACCTGTAATTGATAAATTTAAGCTCATTGTCCTCTCCCTTTTTTTCTTCTACTACTCAGTGGGGTGAGGATTCACAAGCAAAACTAAATCAGTTATAGATAGTAAAGAAGAGCCATTCTGTCTGTTCATCTGAGAGTTATACATCTTATAGGCTAATACAGATACTTTGGGCTGCCAAATGATCTCATGGAGGAGAATGGCCCTTCCTCCCTCATTCCCTTTCTTTCCTTCCTTCCTTCCTTCCTTCCTTCCTTCCTTCCTTCCTTCCTTCCTTCCTTCCTCCCTTCCTTCCATAAACACCTGTTGAGCCTCTACAATACATATGTTCAGCACTGTTGGCACACACATCAATTAGGTGTAATTCCTACACTCAGGGAGCTGGGGACCCAGTAGGCTATATAGACTAAGTGAGCATATGCTTTCACAGGGTCATGGGGCTCTATGTAGATCCACACTGGGTGCTATTGGAGAGGGCGTTCCCCAGTGGTTGGGAAGTGTTCAGGAAGCTTCCCGAAAAAGGGAGACTCAGAGTTGAGTCTTAAGGATAAAAAAAAAAAAAAAAAAAAAAAAAAAAATGATTTAGCTTTAAGAACGTTTATTGAAGTGTTATTTATAATTAAAAAAAAAAGTCTGACAATTGGGGGCTAATTAAATCAGTTATATACTTTCAGAAATCACATATGTAGTCATTAAAAATTATGTTGTTGAACCAAGCTTCTCACCCAGCGCTATTCCAGAGAATATCCAATTCATGGTCATTTGCTAAGGGATATGTGAAACCAAAGAACAAATTTACCTTATTTTTTCCCAGCACTAATTTTATTGGTGATTTGGGAGTGTGGAGTGATCACTAAGTTTCATTCTAAGGTCCTTTGTTCTTTTCTTCCTTGGTAACCCTACCCCAAACCCCCATCTGGAATGGTATCAGGGATGTTGCTGCTCAGAATAAAAGACCACATTTCCCCATCTCTGTGGTAGCTAGGTGTGGCTTTAGGACTAAAAGCAAGTTTAATAAAATGTCAGTGGAAGTGTTGTGAGAGGTTTCCAGGGAGGCTTACCTGATGGAGTTGACTGAGCCAGAATGAAGAAAAAGGATATATTTAAAAACTTTTGCTCAGATTAAAAAAAAATAAAAAAATAGCCGAAACCGGTTTGGCTCAATGGATAGAGCATCGGTCTGCGGACTGAAAGGTCCTAGGTTCGATTCCGGTCCATGGCATGTACCTTGGTTCCAGGCACATCCCCAGTAGGGGGTGTGCAAGAGGCAGCTGATCGATGATTCTCTCATCGATGTTTCTAACTATCCCTCTCTCTTCCTCTCTGTAAAAAATCAATAAAATATATTTAAAAAAAAAAAAAATATATATATATATATATACTCACAACACACATATACACATGGTACACATTTAAAATTCTTATTATTAATTAGAAAATTAATTTTAAAAGTTCAAATATCTAATTCTAATTTGAAGGTTGTAAGGGGAAGCAGTTGATTTATTTCTATGAGCATCTTGATATGCAATGCTCATTTCCCTCTACCATTAAATCCAACTCGTAAAGGCTGACAAGGCTCGTATAAACTGTTTGTGAGACTCCTGCTGGCGTTTTGTACCGGACCTACGTTTTCCAGATAAAACAAGAGCAGGTTTTGGGGTTGTTTCACTTGGAAGAACCCAAGATGCCGGCCTTCCCCCTCCCAAACTTGCCTCGGACCTAATATGTAGGGTTTCAGAATTCAGGCTCTGTTACGTCGGTTTCGGAGTGCGCCTTCTCTCTACGGCATCAGAACACCTTACCTGACTGAACCTAGGACGGATTTGGCCCCAACAACACCAATTCTGAATTTGCCGCACAAAAGCGGGGCTGGGACAGACGGGCGGGGCAAACGCTCGCTGGGCACCAATCCCAGGAGCCGGGGCGGTGCGAGTCATGGCCCTTCCCCCCCGCGGAGCCAATAGCTCGGGACCGGAGCGGGAGGGGCGGGGAGATCCCTGCAGGCGACGTCGTGATTGGCACACCGGCTTCCGCAGCCTGCGAGGCAGCCCCTACGTCCAGTCCATCAGATCCCTGGGCGGGTGCGGAAGTAGGAAGTTTGTCCGCTCCGGGGCACCGTAGCGGCTTTAACCGGGGGAGAAGCGGGCTGAGAGGCTGGGCTGGGCGCTGGATCCCAGTTGAGCTTTGGAGACTCCGATGGCTGCGGTGTTTCTAGTGACGCTGTATGAGTACTCGCCGCTCTTCTACATCGCGGTGGTCTTTACCTGCTTCATCGTGACCACCGGCCTGGTATTGGGATGGTAAGTGCCCCAGAGCTAAGGGCAAGGGAAGGAGGGGCGGGCGGCCAGGGAGCCGGGTCGCGGCGAGCTGCTGGGGGCGTGGAAGCAGGGGGGCGGCGGCGCCGGAGCGTCTGGGGCTGTCGAGGAGCCGGTGTCCAGAGCTCCAAATGGCTGCGAGAGGACGGCTAGGTAGACACTGCACCTGCGTTACTGCCCCGCATTACCGCCCGGTCCCCGCCGCTGCGGGCGTACGGGGCTGGTGCGGGATTGAAGTATTTCACCCAGCTTTGTTTCTGGGAAATAAGGCGTCCGGTAGGGGCCTGGTCTTGGGCAGAATACTTGTCCGCCAGGTTCTGTCCCAGATTGGGGCCTACTGTGTGCCCAGGGTCCAGTCCCCAGCGGTGCAGTGCACAGACGCGGCCGGTAAACAAGGTTGATTGTTGTACTTGTGAATTGAGCGCTTGGCCTTGGCGGGACTTGTAACAGAACTCCATTGTATCATGTTTAGAGAAGCCTCGTAGGTAACAGCTCGTTGAAACCCTTTGTATCCATTGATGAGAGAGAGAGATGAGCTAGGGTTTGAAGAATGGGTGTTTTGAAAAATAAGTGGAGTAAAATATGTGTGGTAGAGAATAGAAGGCATTCCAGAGAATACAACACGGGCAGAGGGCCAGAGGAGGCGTGTGTAAAATGAGTGAGGATTAATAAAAAAATAAAATACCTTTTGATCACAATATATGTGCTCACTTTATTTTTTTAAATATATTTTATTGATTTTGTACAGAGAGGAAGGGAGAGAGATAGAAAGTTAGAAACATCGATGAGAGAGAGTCATTGATCAGCTGCCTCTTGCACACCCCCTGTTGGGGATATGCCCGCAACCAAGGTACATGCCCTTGTCCGGAATCGAACCCGGGACCCTTCGGTCCCCAAGCTGACGCTCTTTCCATTGAGCCAAACCGGTCTTGGCTATGTGCTCACTTTAAATAAAGGATGGGAGCCCTTGTCATTTTCTGACCTTATGTGCTATCTTTAGGATCTAAGAAGTTTTAATGCTTTCACACTGCTCCCCACATTGAAGGCAGTAGAGCATAAAAGTCCTCGTCTGTGGTGGGGGAAGATAAAGACCAATTTTACATAATTTGTTATTCTTGGCCCGTCAGATTTTCTTGCTATTGTTCTTCAAGAAAGTCTGTGATTGGAATTAGGAAGCTGTTGCCCAGTTGAGAAAGGCAGTGTTAACACAGGATTTTAAAACAACTACAATGTGTTATTCTCTTAAAGAAATGTAATTTTTCTCCACTAAAGAAAATGGGTGACTAGTGGATAATTGCAGTATATCCTTGCATTTTAATTTTCAATGGCCTAATGAGATACTTTACTTTTTTATTATTATTTTTTTAAAATATATTTTATTGATTTTGTACAGAGAGGAAACGAGAGAGATAGAGTTAGAAGCATCAATGAGAGAGAGTCATCGATCAGCTGCCTCCTGCACACCCCCTACTGGGATATGCCCGCAACCAAGGTACATGCCCTTGACCGGAATCGAACCCGGGACCTTTCAGTCCCCAAGCCAACGCTCTATCCATTGAGCCAAACCGGTTTCAGCAAATGAGATACTTTAGATATCTGTCTTTAATAGTATTGGAAAGAGGAAAATGAGTGAAGATCCTATTGGTAATGATGACAACATCTGTGTGTGAAGGGTAGTTAGGAATTACATGTTTGTAGACTTTGATATTAGATTTAGTTCAAATCCTAGTTCAGCCAAGTTTAAGACTTGGTTTGAAAACTTAATGATACTCTAGATATGATTTTTGCAAAGGGTAGGAGTCAAGATAATTGTAGAAATTTTGGAATTCTGGGTGCAGAACTGCCAAGGCTGGAGACAATGTTTGTGCTAGTCATTTTCATCCCGATTTGGGTCAAACCAGTCACTGATTTTGAGGCTAACCCAACTATTCTCTCCATCTGGGTTAGCTTTGTTCATCTAGATAAATTTCTTACTAGCATTTGTTTGTTAATCTAAGCCAAGGTCACAGGTGCATTAAGTAGAAACAATGAAAACCATCTAGATCTCATGCAACAACTTTCTAATAGTACCCCAGGCAGAAGGTAAACCCGTTAATCCACTATGTTCTTCACGCTTGTCATTTTTTTTAACTTCTCATAATATAGTCTCTAGCGGTCATCTGTCATCTCATGGTTTCTACTTCAGTACAGCTCTCTTGAATTTCTTTCTTTCTTTCTTTTTTAAACATTACTTTTTAAAAAATATATTTTATTCAGTTTTTACAGAGAGGAAAGGAGAGGGATAGAAAGCCAGAAACATCAATGAGAGAAACACCAATCAGCTGCCTCTTGCACACCCCTTACTGGGGATGTGCCCGCAACCAATGTACATGCCTTGACCAGAATCGAACCTGGGACCCTTCAGTTTGCAGGCCGATGCTCTATCCACTGAGCCAAACCGGTTTCGGCTTGAGTTTCTTTCTTATTGCTTCTTTCCACCGTTCTTGTCTAGCTGCACTGTGTGGGAGTGGAAAAGAATAGGAACTTCTGATTATTAGAATGTCAGTAGCAATAGTAAAGAATCATGCAACTAGAAGTATGGTGTTTCTATTTAACTATGTGGTGGTTTCTGTGAACCCTAGTAGCTCACATTTATTAAACTCCTGCTATTTGCCATGTACTGTGCAGAAAAACAAAACAGTTTTAATAGTTTTGAGCAGTTTCAAATAATCAGAGAGCCTAACTGTTATTGCTTTCTGCTTCTTCTTGACTGTGGGTTATTAAGCTTCTAGAGACCCAGTGCACGAAATTCATGCCCTGTAGAGTCCCTCGGCCTAGCTGGTGATCAGGGCCAATCCGGGACTTCCTTCCCTTGGCTGCCGGCTGCAAGCTGCTGGCCGGGGCCTTCCTTTCCCCAGCTGCCAGCTGCTGGGGCCTTCCTTCTTTCCATGCCACCCTCTGGTGGTCAGCACACATCATAGCTAGGGATGAACTCTTGGTCAGTCAAACTCCCAAGGGGACAATTTGCATACAAGTCTTTTATTATATAGGATTGTCTCTGGTTTGATATCTCCATTATTGTACTCCGCTTTGTGAATCTGAGGCAGAACCTCTAAACCTCATTTCTTCTTTGCTAGCTGGATGCCCATGAGGCTTTGCCAATAGGGGTGGGAGAGTGGAAGGCTAGAGGACAAGAGGACTTGCCGCTTCCTGTTTGATTCTTTTTCTTGTTTGTCTCACCACAGCAATAGTGCCTCACTCTGGCACTAACAGTCATTCCCAGTTTTTCCAGTTCATTGTTTTCCACTTTCTTAGAACCAGCCTCATTGCAACCTGTCAAAAGATCTCAATACCCTTTCCTCAGATCTAAGCCCAGCTCTTTGGGGATTTTTCCTCTAAATTTCTAGGCTCTAGTAACTCTTTTTCCTCTATTCCTTATCCTAAGAGTGATTGTTGCTTCCTATTGTTAGTACTTTTTTGATACTCAGTGCCCCTCTTTTGCCTTTTCAGTTCTTTAAAATCTGGTTAACATTTTTTTTATATTAAACTAGAGGCTTGGTGCATGGGTTTGTGCATCAGTGGGGTCCCTCTGCCTGGCCTGCAGGGATTGGGCTAAACCAGCTTTCTGACATCCCCTAAACGATCCCAGATTGTGAGAGGGCAGTTCTCGGGTGACACACCCTGGGATCGGGCTCCCTCCTCTCTGGTTCCAGTGAGTTACCGGAGAACCGCATCTGCCAAGTCACTGCCGCTTGGCAGCTCCTGATTAACTGTCTGCCATCTGGTGGTCATTGCGCATCATAGGTACCAGTCAGCTGGTTGCTTAGGCTTCTATATATATATATATATATTATCTCTGTTAAAATTATTGGTGTGATTTTGGTCTCCTGACTGGACTGATAAAACTGCCGATAAATTATTACTTAGAATGGGATCCTGGGGAGAGGGGAGCCTCAGAGATGGGGTTGGAGATTGGTATGGTCATTTCTTCAGCTCCTTGCCAATTCTGGCATACATTGGCATCACAGTTAATAAAATCACTCACTACTTTTAGGTGATTGTGATACAATGATTTCTGAAGCAAGTGCTTTAGGGCAGTGGTCGCCAACTTGTGGGTTGTAAGGTCCGAAAGGTTAGCGACCGCCGCCTTGGGGTACCAAGTGTCTAACGCACTTGACCATTATGGCAGTAATGATGACTATAAGGACTGAAGGAGGGATGGGATGGTTATTTCTGAGATCACTGGAGCACTTATGGGGGGGGAGGGGAAACACAGACAAACTCAGATCTTTGAACTCTCAGATAAAGTCTTAGAGAATGAGAGAGTTTCTGTGATTCTAAAGCACTTTATCAGGTAGCCCCTGAGCCAAAAATTGAACACAGCTTTAATTGTGCTGGTAATAGCATTGCACAGCCCTGTAGATATCTCACTGAGGACACCGATTAGAAAGAAGTGGAGCCCTGAAACTTGGAATGGGAACATTGAAATAGACTTGAACATCTGGAAACCCCAAGTCACTCTGAGCCTTCCTTGTTGGTGGAAGCAGCTTGCTTTCCTTGTCTGAGAAAACTAGCCTTCCTGTGTTTAAAGAATTTATAATCTCGCCTAGGGCAGTTGCTTTGCATGAAGCACTGAGAAGTATATTACTGAGAGGAGACTTATCTTGGAAATCTCTGGCACCTGCCTTCTCTAGGCTATTTATGATTGTGAGAAATGCTGCCCTCAGGGCAGACTTCCTGACTTAAAAGTCTAGTGGCAACACATAACCACAGAAGTCAAGGTGGACATGTTCCATAATGGGTAAGGGAAGACAAAGCAGAAAATGTGTGGGCCTGCAGGGATCTTTGGCAGTGTGTAATGGACTACAATGTCCCTGGGAATGAAATAGGTGGTGGCTTACTAAATGCTACATGAACTGCATAAAAGGAAAAACTCCGGGTCTGGAGCCACAGATCTGACTTGGGTCACAACAATGGAGAGTATGACCTTTCACCCAGTTTCCAGGTCTAAGCCAATCCTTAGACTCAAGGCTTCTGATTGAGGGGAGGTCAGATACCCTTGGGGAAGGACCCTGTGACCTGTAATGCTGCCACAAAAATAAACTGTATGCCGACCTTTCTCAAAGGCTAATGTCTCTCAGCAAATATGCTCTTCTCTACTCTGCTTTATGATACTGGGACTGGGATTTTGCAAACTGCATTTCTCTTGTGCTAGTTCCATATCTTCTTTCTTCTTCCTCCTCAAGTTCCTCTTCCTCCTCCAGCCTTCTGGTCTCTTTCTTAAAAATTTGCTCCCCTTTCCTGGTCTTCATTTTTGCAACATTGGCCTTCACACTAGCAGTGACAATTGGCCCAAGTTGCAGCAAGGTGTGTTTTTTTTAGCTTATTTTTTTCTCATATCTAGAACCAGTCTATGGCACTCCTTTAGAGATATCAGCACCAGCTGGCCAGAACTGCTACCAAAAAGGTCTAGGTCCTAGCTTTGGGGGGATTCGTTCTCTAAGCTTCTAACTTGTAATAACTCACACTCTTACCTTTATTTCTCCAACCCTAGGACAGTAATACAAAAACATTTGAGATAGTAATTGAGAAATGTAGCAGTGTTAGGACGTAATTCAGATAAGGCTGGAATGAAAAGCCAAAGAGCAAAACTATTAACCTTAAAGGCAAATGTTAATTACTTGTGTTAAAATTAGGACCCTGTTCATCAAAAGATACCATTATGAACTTGAAAAGGTAAGATGTAGAAGGGGTGAAGATAAATTCAACAAAGGGCTCATGTTCATCTTTCAGTGCACACAACACCCAACCAACTGAGCCACTCTGGTGAGGGCTGATGTAGATGTTTATATTCATATAAATATTCTTAAAAAAAAAATATATATATATATATATTATTGATTTTTTACAGAGAGGAAAGAAGAGGGATAGAGAGTTAGAAATATTGAACAGCTGCTTCCTGCAAACCCTTTACTGGGGATGTGCCCGCAACCAAGGTACGTGCCCTTGACCAGAATCAAACCTTGGGGACCCTTCAATCCGAAGGCCGATGCTCTATCCACTGAGCCAAACCTGTTAGGGCCATATAAATATTCTTGAGCTTTGTTTTGGGATGCAGTTAACTTACTTGGAAATAGTTTGATCTGTTTCAAAAAGATTTTCAGCTTTTTTTAAAAAAATGTTTTTTATTGATTTTAGAGAAAGGGAAAAAGAGAGAAACATGGATGTGGGAGAGTAACATCAATTGGCTGCCTCTTGCACGCCCCCTACCAGGAATTGAGCCCACACAGGCATGTATCCTGACCTAGGATGGAACTGGGGACCTCTTTTAACCATTTTGCTATTGCCTACACCCCGATTTATAGACAGTCCCCTCCTTTAATAAAGGACCAGGTCTTAAAATGACCTAACCCAACGCCTGGATTCAAGTTGTGAGCCTGGTTCTGGCCCTTGTCTTGACTGGACAACTTGTATGTGAAGGCTTAGTTTCCACTGCCTACTGTCGGACTCAGAGAGCACCAAACCATGGCATATGCCTTACTCATCACTTTATATTTTTTGCCCTTTTCATATTTATTAAGATACAAAGATGTCTTTGAATCCATCTATGTCTACTTTCCAATATTTTATTATTAAAATTTTCAAACATGCATACAATGAAAGAATTATCCAGTAAACATGCATATGCCCATCACTTCAGTTCCAAATCAACCTTTTGCTATAATGACTTTATTACATGTCTGTTCTGATCCATCCATTCTTCCATCCACCCATCAGTCTATCTAATTTGTTGATCACTTCAGAGTAACTTGAACTCTTCACCCACTTGTACTTTACCTTTGAAGTAATATTTATATACAATGAAATTAAAAAATGAAATAGAGAGGGCCGGAGACCAGGATGCCAGGACACAGGCTTTATTGAAGAGGAGAGTACCACTGCCGGCTGCTTCCAGAGAGAGAGAGGAAGAGCCCGAGGGCCGGGGTACAAGCACCTTTTAAGGGGAGGAAAGAGAGGGGACGGGGCTTAGGGCACTCAGCACAGGCTGATTGGTGGTTTCATGTAAGGCACATGATTAGGAACCTAGGGACTTAGGAGTATGTGGCAGGTGCTGATTGGTAGTTCAGTGCTCAGGAATGTCTGGCTGCAGGTGGAGTTTATGTCCGTCCATCAATTGGAGAAAGGGAGGATTTATTAGAAATGTTTATATCTTAAGTATTATCAAACACATCATCTTTACAACTCAACCCTCTGTCAAGATAATAAAATGTTACCATCACCAGAAAAAATTTTCTTATGCACTTTCCCAGTCAGCCTGTTCTCCTATACCCCAGAAGCAACCATTGTTTTGTTTTTTATTTCTACTCAATTACTTTTACAGACTAGAATTTCACTTTATGGAATCATAGCATGATTTCTTTTGAGCAGTATGTTGTTTTTGAGATTTATGCATATGGTCGTAGCAATAATTTATTCCTTTTCATTGCTGAGTTCTTCTGTTCCTTAGTTTAAACACAATTTGCTCATTTCAGCAGGGTCTTTTTTATTTTTATTTTTATTTTTACCTATCACTAGTAAGTGTTTGGAGAGAAGAGAGTGCATCCACGTCTGAACCTAACTGCGTGCTTAATCTAAAATCTCTTTGTTAAACTAATTTGTATTCATTTTCAGTTATTTTATTTAAATTGAGTAAACTTAGCTGCTTTCTAGTTTTATAAAGAATTGAATTTAGTCCTTTTCATTTTCCTTCTAAGCCTATTCAATATGCATTATCACATTTTTGCATTAACTTTAAAATGAGAAAATATGCTAATAAATGAAGGGCTATATTTGGTGTTTAAAAGTTCTCTGATCCCATAAATAATATCAAATAGTCTGCATATTAAGTATGTATTTGTCACCCTCACCAGTTTGGCTCAGTGGATAGAGCATCACCCTGCAGATTCAATTCTGGTCAAGGGCACATGCCCAGGTTGCAGGCTCGATTCCCAATAGGTCGTGTGCAGGAGGTAGCCAATCAATGATTCTCTTTCATCACTGATGTTTATATATATCTCTCTCCTCCCTTCCTCTTTGAAATAAATAAAAAAATATTTTAAAAATATATGTATTTGTCTATAATATCATTTAAGAATTTAATAATTCTATCATGCTTTTCCTCTCACATTAGGTACAATTTATAATCAGTATACTTCTTCATTATTAACAATAGAATTCTGTTTTCAAGAGTATGTCGGTTCAGCCAGTTTAACAATATATTGCAATTCTAGGGGACTGATGATTTCTGTTATTTCTAGATTAATTCTCAAATATAACATAAATTAATTAACTTATTTCTTTTTCCTGATATGTTAAGAGGATTAACTAATGAAGCATAACATAGTCTACATCCTATATAATAAGAGAGTAATATGCTAATTATCAGTTATGTCATGAGGCCTAATGACCGGATAAAGGATCTGCAGGAGAGTGGGGCAGTGAACTATTATACAAGCAGCAGAGAGCTACAGGAGGGGGCAGGGCAGCAAGCTATGGGGCCCCCCCCCCCGGGGGAATCTACAGGAGGCGTAAGAGACCTACTGGCGCATGGATTTGTGTGCAGGGCTATTAATATAACAAAGTTTCAACATTAGTTAAAATAATGTATTATTTTATTTTCACTTTCAGGTTTGGTTGGGATGTTCCAGTAATCCTGAGAAATTCTGAAGAGACCCAGTTCAAAACAAGAGTTTTCAAAAAGCAAATGAGACAAGTCAAGAATCCTTTTGGCTTAGAAATCGCTAATCCATCTTCAGCTTCGATTTCAAGTTGGTAGCTATTTTACAAAGATTCTTCTCGTTTTCTCTGCCCCTGTTTTAGCCCTTTAAATGTATTGTATTAGTATTTATTAATTGTATTTTTTTCCATATGAACAACTGTAAACCCATTTTTGCCCCACCTTGATATAATATGCTACTGTTTATCTCAACAGTAGAGGATATCCAAATACATGTGTTTATTTACACTAAAATGAAGTATCACAGATGTTAATAAGAGAAGTCTGTTAGGACAGGTGCCATTTTCATTGGTCTTCAGTGCAGTGAGAAAAGTAAGAATGATATAGCGTAAGTTCAGTTAATATAAGGTTGCTTACCTTTTGAAGAACAGTTATCTGTTAGTCTGCAATTACGATATTTTGGTCTAAAATTATTTTGGTAGCTGGTAGTAATAGATGGTAGTTGTTTGTTTCTGTTCTTGAAAAACAAATTGTCTGCGAGCCTATCTAGGAACCAGTGGAGTGAAAGAGAGGGGATGCTGGGCACAGACAAGACAGAAGAGTCAGGGAAGACTCAAATTCTTTGCTTGGGCCCTCCATGGATGGGTCTTTGTACAGAGATGAGACATAAAGGCGGAAGCAGGTTTGGGAAGAAAGGAAATGGATTAGTTTTGTACTACTGGACCTGTAAATGCTTTTGTGACAGTTAAGCAGAGATACAGAGCATGCAGTTCTAGGTACAGTTCTGTAGCTCTACCGGGTCTCTGGGCTGAGACCCTATCACCTTTTAGGCTTGCTCACATTTCTGGTATCTTAAAAACAACTCTTGCCAAAACTGATTTGGTTCAGTGGATAAAGCATTGGCCTGCGGACTGAAAGGTCCCGGGTTCGATTCCCGTCAAGGGCATGTTCCTTGGTTGTGGGCACATTCCCAGTAGCAGGTGTGCAGGAAGCAGCTGAACGATGTTTCTCTGTCATCGATATTTCTAACTCTCTATCCTTCTCCCTTCCTCTCTGTAAAAAATCAATAAAATATATTAAAACAAACAAACAAAAGACAACCCTAAACTTTCTTGGCTCTTCATCTTATTCTAGCTATTGTCCTATTTCTCTTTTTCCCTTCATACCCAGGCTTTTATATATATATGATTCTCTCTCATCATTGATGTTTCTGAGAGAGAATCATTGATCAGCTGCCTCCTGCATAAACCATACGGGGGATCAAGCCCAAAACGTGGACATATGCCCTGACCAGGAATTGAACTGTGAACTCCTGGTTCATAGGTCAATGCTCAACCACTGAACCACACCAGCTAGGTCACAGCCTGGCATCTTAAAAGTGATATTCATTTGCCTTCTCCCCTGCTTCCCTTTTACTCCTTAGAGCAGTGTAATCTGATTTTTACCTGTATCCCTCTATTGATATGGCTTTCCCCAAGATCACTAATTAGCACTGTTGCCCTCTACCCCTTACCCCTGGCAGTCATAAATGTATAAGCTTATTTAGGAAACATGCCTGAATAAAATGTACAGAATAGTGGTAGCTTGGTGATCTCTGACCTTTGAGACCATGCAGTTGGACCTGCTATAATGTCACATCTGGCTCTTGAGCAGGACTGCTGTAAAAAATTCTAGTACAAAGTGGTTCTTCCTGAAACATAGGTCCAAAGCCTGGAGACACTGATAAAGTAAGAATGGATACATCGTGAGCAAACAAACACAGGACACTTGTGAACTAGAAAGTGTTAGGAAATCCATCAGTCTGCCATTATTAAAGTAGAAATAGTCCTAAGTAGCACCTGCCCTGTAAATGTTAGAAGCTGGAAATCTCTAAGCTGTGCCTAACATACTATATGCTAACCAATAGTAGCATTATTGAAGTACACAAAGATTTTAAATCTGTGTACTTACAGTGTGCTTATTGAAGTATTTTAATTTTTAAATACCAATGCATATTACTCATTATCTGTCTTCTATGGGAAAATAAGGAAAATAATTTTGGTGGGAATTCTTTATTCTGCAGAATAAAATTCATTTGCTTAAACAGTGGACCGATGGGTGTCATTTAAGTTGTCTAACCAGGATATTACCTAATAAAAGACAAACACGTAAATTGACAATGCCTCTGCTATGCCACCTGCCAATCAGGAGTGATATGCAAATTAACCCAACAAAGATGGAAGTTAATTTGCATACTCAGCCACTGAGTGACAGGGGGTTGGACACATGTTCTGCCCAACCCCTGGTCTCTCAGGGCCTCTGGCAGGGTGGGAAGGAGGGGCCAGAACAGATAGAGGCAGCTCCGGGGCCTGAGCGGAAAGGGGCTGGGCTGGAGTGGAAAGATGGGGTGGCACCCAGGGAAAGGAGAGCCCATTCTAGCACAAATCTTTGTTCACTGGGCTTCTAGTAATGACATAATATTCTGAGCAATAATTGTGATGTCTTAAAAAGTTATTTCTTTTGGTATGTAAATAGTTTAAAAATCCAGGGCTTTGTTTGTTTTCTTTGTTAAATCACTATACCCAAGGTGCTTGGCACATAGGGGAGGGACAGAGAACATATAGGGAACTGATTTACTTGAAAATGAACCAGAAAATCAGTTTTGTTTTTAAATATATTTTTATTGATTTCAGAGAGAAAGGGAGAGGGAGAGAGAGACATAGAAACATCAATGATGAGAGAGAATCATTAATAGGCTGCCTCCTGCACGCCCCCTACTGGGGATTGAGCCTGCAACCCAGGCACGTTCCCCTTGACCGGAATCTAACCCTTCATCCTGCAGGCCTACACTCTATCCACTGAGCCAAACCAGCTAGGACTGGAGAATCAGTTTTAATCTTAGTCATTTAGTTCTTTTTACCAGAGGTGGGTTTTGGGGATTTGTTGTTGTTGTTCTGTAATGATACTGTATTTGGATTTATGATGTTTCCATGTCCTCACTGTAGAGATTTTAATGAAATTGAAAATAGGTACTCAGGACATACTAGTTGTGTTGTATTAATTCAGTTTAGCAGTTCTGTTCTTTTGAAAACAGTTTTCTGGTGTTTTGACTTATTTACCCTGGGAAGAGCCAATATAAGCAAAAGGCTTAAGCAAAATGACACACAGCATTTTTGGAGGAACTTATGAGCTTCTGTTCCTTACCACCAAACTTTTCATCTCCCAATACTTTGGTTTCATCGTCCTCGTGCAGGGGCTCCTTGAATATTAGTTCTTCTCTCACAGAGACTTTACTGTAAGAAGGTGTGTGGCTTTACTGTCCCCTCGTTTCTCCTTTTATTTTATTTTATTTATTTATTTATTTTTAAAATATATTTTATTGATTTTTCATAGAGAGGAAGAGAGAGAGATAGAGAGGTAGAAACGTCGATGACAGAGAAACACCGACCAGCTGCCTCTTGCACACCCCCTACTGGGGATGTGCCCGCAACCCAGATACATGCCCTTGACCGGAATCGAACCTGGGACCTTCCAGTCCGCAGACCGATGCTCTACCACTGAGCCAAACCGGTTTCGGCTGTTTCTCCTTTTATTAATGTCTCAACTCATTTGACTATAGCCCCACTTTTTTCTTTTTTTTTTCTTTTTTTTTTTTTCAGTTTCTTGCAAGACCATCTTCTACACTGTCTCTTTATTTGGTTGTTACGGTTTGGCAGGTTGAGAGAAATCCTACCTAGGTTGCTTCACTTCATTTGAGTTCTGAATTTTCTGGGTTATGTCTATTCCAATTCTTTTAATCCTATTGATCTAAGATATTATTGTGTGCACACTGAATTTTAGAAGATTAAAAAAATATAAGGATGGGAATTGGATATAAGGATCTTTGCAGGAGAAGTGATAAAAACTAAAGGGAGAATAGTTTTGTCTAAGGGTATTTGAACCCTTAGTGTAAATCAATATATTCTCAGTCTGTGTAAAAGACAAGTTTATGGAAGATTGTGGAGGGCAGAGTTTTATAGAGTCTGTAATTCTTTTTCATTTGCTTGTAATATTAATATCAGAGACATTAAAATCTGATTAATATTGTTATCTGTAGTCTGTGATGTGCCCCATTTTAGTCAAGTAATCAAAGTCTTTAAACAAGTTTTATTTATCTCGGAATCTCTGGAACTCTGATTCTTTTTACAAAGCAGTTAGATTGATATTATGTATGTTCTGTAAAGTGGCATTTGTTTTTTAAGGCTTGTCCTTCCATTGTTCTTTAGTGTAAACAAACACATGTATTTGGATATCCTCTCCTGTGAGATAAACAGTAGCATACAATATACAGAGTGGGGAAAATGGGTTTACAGTTGTTCATTTGGAAAATAATACAATAAATAATAAATAATAATATAAGAATAATCTCTATTTCGTGTACTCACAACTGTAAACCAACTTTTGCCCCACCCTGTAATCTTTTCTATACCTCGCTTCTTTCATTTAATGGTATATTCTGAAGCTCATTCCACAGTAGTACTATACACAGATATTTTGGTATGCTTCAATTTTTTTCAAAGAGCTTCATGGTACTTCATTGGAGAGTGTTCCATATTTTATTAATTTAATCCCCTATTGATGAACATTTAGGTGGAGTATAGCATTTTGACATAACTTGTGCTATAATGAATAGCCTATTTATACATATTTTTACATTTTTGCCAGTAATACTTTTCTGGGTCCTTGCCCCCCCTTACTTTTTTTGTAGGCTTTAAATTTTTTCCCCTTTCCCATCTACTTTCAATTTTTTTCTTGCCTCACTTTGTGTCATTCTAGAGTGACAGAGAAAATTATATATGATTTTTAATAAATACATCTTAAATTTGTATTAATGGAGTGATTTTCTTCAGCTATTTAACAGTTAATTGAAAAATAAAGGTAATTGAATTGAAAACTGATAGAATCATAAAATATGAAATCAAATCTGGTATCAATTATGTATGTAAAGCTTCTGTCAATTAAAATTTTTGCTTAATTGTGATTAGAAATTGTTCTATGTTGTTGCTACTCTACATACTCAGAATCTGACACTTTGTACTCGGTACAATATTTGGCATCCTGTGAATGATCTGGTTGTATTTGTGTAGCTCCTTCCAACACATTCTCTTAATCACCTTTAAAAGTAGGTAATATATTAATCAGAATTCCTATTAGCAAGCAACAGAAACGACTATAATAAAAGGATATTAAGGGCAGAAGAATGGGGGATATCTGTAATACTGTCAACAATAAATAAATAAAATGGGACGGGGAAGGATTTTGAATTACATACAGACTTGCCAGTAGGTTTTGAGAGCCAGAATCAGAGACCGAGGTTGTTCACTCAGGAGCAGTTGTCACCGAAAGTGACCGAGACCAAAGCAGATCTGCCCTGGCACGATCTGAAATGTGTTAGTTCTTGACTTTGTGTAGGAAAAAGTTCACAACATGCGCCCAGATGATTTTGAGAGTGCCTTTCTTAAAGTTGGGAGCAGTGAAACAAAAGATAGGCTTAAGATAGAAGAGCCAAGATCACAACAACAGGAGTGGGTCTACACTGAGCTGCCTAGACTCAGGAAAGGAAGTCACAGAACAAAATTGAATCCTCATGGATTTAGGAAACAAATTATAGTAACAAGTGAGCCATGCTGGGCTTTGGACTCAGGAAAGAAAGTCATAGAGGCAAAAAGAGGGCCCTTAGAGAGTTGACAGGGTTAGCCCAGGACGAATTGCTGCTGCCCATTGCTCACCTGATTGCAAGTCTCCTGGAACCCTTTGGAGCTCGGGAGAGAAAAATACCTGTCTGAAGAAATGGTATGGAGTGCTCAAGCCAGTACGGGGTCTTTTGTCTTAAGGGGTTTTATTTGTTTTCTAAAGGGAATTTTAGGGGAGGTTTCAGGGGAGGATCTCAATAGAATATTCAGCAGCTTTCCAGGTGTGTCCTTTAATATGCTAATGTGTCAAAATGAGCCTGTTGGGGAATTTGGGATCATTCTATGGTCAGTTTCACTGCTTTACTTTTATCTTAGATTTGTCTGACTCTAATTGTTTTTTCTTGTTATTTATTTCCCTTCCTTCATCCATTCTGGAATTTGGGTGATTTAAGCTATTCAGTCTGGTTGGGGAGGAGAGATACAAACCATCTGCTCCTATGTGTCCTTGGTTAGGGAAGATAAGATCTGGTGATTTACTAGCAGGTTTTTAATTGCTCAACCTTGTTTAACTATCTTGTCTCAGTTTCCCTCATTCCACTTGCCAAGGAATTTTCCCAGCTTTTTACTGTCCTGCCTCACAATGAATAAACTTTTCCTTTTGGCTTAGCAAGTACACCTCCGCCACTCATCACTAGATGTTGCAGCTTGCGCTGCCCGCAATGTGAGGCACTGGCTGTGGCTGCCTTTGAACTTAGTGCTACAAGGGAAGGGGGAAATCACATAGGTGGCATATAGTAAATCCATAAGCAAGCAGATAAAACTACAGTTATAATTTGTCCATTTATAATTTATATGCCCCCTTAATCGGCTTTACTCAAATCATAATATCTTTTATTACGCTGAAAGCAAACAAATGAAAGAGGACATCACTGTTAAACTTTCATGTTTTAGAATCTCCACTCTTTCCTCGGGATGTTTTGCATATTACATGGGACATTACCTTTGTGACAAGAATGTATATTAATGTTGTCAGTGTGTATATTGATATTAGTAAAGCTCAATTTCTTTTTAATATTTGTCCTACTCCAGTGATCGTCTTGTGGAGCCGTGGGTGGTGTGTATCCACTGTCAGAGATAGCTCTGCTCTTGTAGTTACAAGGTTGTGCGGATCTACTTTAGGGTTGTAGACACTATTAGGTAGGCTAACAATTAGTGTACTGTATTTCAGTTTGTAAAATCTTTGTGGGAAAAGTCTTGAAGTCACCAAAAAACATTGAATTGATCACTTCCAAGCATAAATGTATAAATAATCAGGTTTACTGGTAGTGCTTCAAAATTGTGTAGACATGGGGTTTTTTATAGCTCCTGTTTTAGAGACCTGTTCCTTCGTTTATAGGCACATGCCCTCTAATGAGTTCCTTGAACTACCAGCAGCCTGGCCAGCATCCAAAAAGGAGCTTTTATTACTCGCTGTGTATAATTGTACTAGGAATTACGTCAGGTAATTTTTTTCTGTCTTATTTGTCTTCTACAGCTGGCATCACTTTGACAACAGATTGCCTTGAAGATAGCCTCCTCACATGCTACTGGGGGTGCAGTGTCCAGAAATTGTACGAGGCTCTGCAGAAGCACGTTTATTGCTTCCGAATAAGCACTCCCCAAACACTGGAAGATGCTTTGTATAGCGAATACCTCCATCGAGAACAGTATTTGTATCCTTTATCTTACATCTATTAGGACATGAGAATTTTAGACATTAGACTTTTTATGGATAAATCGCTAAGTTACGATTCCCTTTGGTATTTTGTTGTATTTTTGCTTATAGTGACAATTTACCTTTACATTTTCAAAAAGTATTAAAAAGGACAGCAAAGAAGAAATATATTGCCAGTTACCAAAAGATACTAACATTGAAGACTTTGGGACAGTGCCCAGATCTCGCTACCCATTGGTAGCACTGTTGACCCTAGCTGATGAGGATGACCGAGAAATTTATGATATTGTAAGTAATTTTAAAGTTTTGGAGCATTACTTTTAAGTGATTTGGATAATGGGTCTTAATTATTTAGTGATGTAGAAAAAAGTATTATTTTAATTTCTGAGAATATACATTTGGACTGGTCACATTTCCCCCCCCCAAAAAAATGAATACATGGGAAATATGTATGACTTTTATACATATAACTTTTTTTAGAATATGACTTTTTCCCCCCTATATGATTATGATTATATAGAGAAAATAAAAGCTATTTTATATTTGAATTAAGTTAATTTCATCATTCTGTCATGTTTGCTGCATAGAAAAGTCTGTTGGGAGACATATTTATTTTTAACATTTTTAGCACTGAGTAAATAAGCATTGTAGTAGTGAAACAAAATGTTCAATTTTAAGACAATATCCACTCTTTTCTTTGCTTGTTTGCAGTCATCTTGTTTTCATCATAGTGTCTGCCGCATCTACATCTTATATATGTTTTGTCCCTATATTTTCAGTAATTATAGTGATAATTACCTTTCTCATTATATACTAATTATTTCTTTAGTCTGGTAGTTTATCCCTATTGGGAAGATAAAAGCATTTTAGGGAGCTAAGAAGACCTGAGCCCTGACAATCCTCTAAGTATGGTAGAAGTTTATACATGAAATAAACTTGGTGAAATAGTATCATGATGAGAATGCCCTTATACACAATTTACTGTTTTCTGAAGTGCATGATATAGATATGTTCTTTAATAAAGAAACGGTAGCATCTTTATGGCATTTTGTAACATACAAAGTGCATTCATTAACTTATTTATTCCTTCTAACAACATTGTGTTAGGCAAATAGCCTTCTTAAAAGGACTGAAACAGAGTTGTTAGAAAAATCCCAATCATTCAGGAAATAAGAGATGGGCTTGACCCTGAGCCTGTGTAGTTCTTTGCCAGGAACCCCTTCTCATTTTCGTTTTTACAGGAATATCTTCTTCTTTTAAAAAAAATATATTTTATTGATTTTAGAGATGAAGGGAGAGGGAGAGAGAGAGAGAGAGAGAAACATCAATGATGAGAGAGAATCATTGATTGGCTGCCTCCTGCACATCCCCTACTGGAGATTGAGCCTGCAACCCAGGCATGTGCCTCTGGCCAGAATTGAGCGGGGGACCCTTCAGTCTGCAGGCTGACACACTCTCCATTGAGCCAAACCAGCTAGGGCAGGAATATCTTCTTGGAACAAGAATACATTGAGCTTTGGAAGGTGTTAGACCTTCCAAAGGTGTTATTGGGAAATCCAAACCTATTCACATGCAGTTAAGCCAATCTAGGTTTTGGGGTTTTAATCTTATCAAATTGAAGTTTCATTGAGCTGAAATCAGCTTGTTTTTTTCCAATTGAAAGACATACCAACAGCAGTGTATTTTCAGAATCTGGCACCATGCCTTAAACACAGTAGGTACTCAATACATTTAATCGGTGTGGAAAAAAGTCATACCAAGCATTGTTAGTGAGCTTCAAAGAACAGAACTCTTTAGTTGCACATGTATAAGGAAGTGTATATGAGAGATCTTCTGGTTTCCCCACCTCCTTTTCAATTGAAGATAAATAAGACCTTTTAGATTGGTGTTTCATACCCCTGCCTTCCCTATCTTTTCTAAGCTCCCCTAGTTCTTTCCTTTTATTGCAAAAAAGGGTCAGTTCTCAATCACCTTCCTCCCAGCTTCCTCTTTGGTACCTTTCCTTCTCACTGGCTTAGTGCTTTCTATCTACGTGAGCTATTGATAGTATTTCTTTCTAACTTTTCTTCCTCCATCTAAATAGAGAAGGACTTGGTGTGTGCATGCTAAAACAATATAACTTCAATGCTGTTTTAGCCACTTCCAGTGTACAATTCAATGGCATCATAAATAGGGAAAGATTTGCTTATCTGATCCTTGACCCAATCGGAATGAAGACTCCAGGGCCCTGCTGTAGCTGTGGGTAGCTTATTCCCACAGGGGAGCTGGGCCCAGGCCCTGAAGCGTTAACAGTTACTTTCTTTGCCTATGTCTCCCTGCCTTCGTCCTTTTCTGTGTCTTTTATGAGCAGGCCCTCCTCTTTTTTTCATGTTAAATCTTTCTCCATCTCCTACCTCTCAGATTGGGCCTAATGGTAGAACTGTTAGTATATTTTATAGTAATGTTCTCTGTTCTTTTTTGTTTGTTTGTTTTCTTGTTACTCCTCACCTGAGGATATTTTTTCTATTGTTTTTCGAGAGAGTAGAAGGGAGTGAAGGAATATGACATAGAGAGAGAGAAAAAGAGGGAGAGCGAGAGAGGGGGAGAGGGAGAGAAACATCGATGTGAGAGAAACAAATCGACTGGTAGCCTCCCTCATTGCCCTGACTGGGGCGGGGAGCAAACCTACAACCCAGGTACGCGCCCTTGACCTGGAATCAAACTCCCTACCCTTTGGTTGCAGACTGACACTCTGAGCAACACCAGCCAGGGCATGTTCTCTGTTCTTAATTTTAAAAGCAAACTGAGCATTTCATAATTCTTTTCATAGATGGTTTTTCAGTATTTTATCTGGGGATCAGAGATTCTAAATCTAAAAAAAAAAAAAAAAGAAAGAAAATTATATTGTCCTATTCCTATTGTAACAGTAAAAATTACATTTAGATAATATAGCTAGCCACCAGTTTGTTATTATAAGTAGATAAAGGGAAGCAGGGATTGTTGTTGCAAGATTTTGGCTTTAAAACTTTTTCATTTTTACATAATTATATCAGTTTGTTTTTTGTATTACTCATATAATATATGCTTATGGCAGGAAATAACCTTAGAAAATCTAGATAAGCCAAAAGAAAAAAAGTATAATCACTTTTATCCTATCATCCAAATATAACTACTGTGAATATTTGTGTCTTTTCAGATCTTTATATATGTAATTTTTTGTTGTTATTAATCTTCATCCGAGGATATTTTTTCCATTGATTTTTAGAGAGAGTGGAAGGGAGAAAGATAGAGAGAAACATTAATGTAAGAGAGACACATCGATTGGTTGCCTCTTGCACATGCCCATCCAGGTCTGGGGATCAAGCCTGCAACCAAGGTACGTGCCCCTGACCTGAATAAAACCCTCGACTTTTCAGTCTGTGGGCCAACGCTCTAACTACTGAGCACCCGACCAGGACCATATATATAGTTAAAAAAAAAAAGGGGGGTCCACTTGTACACACTATTTTGTGACCCCCTTTCATTTAGCATTATATTATTAATATCTTTTTCATATGAAATATAGATCTACAACTACATACACATTTATAACTAGCATTATAGTAGTTTCAGAGTTTTTTAATATTAAATCAAATGACAAAATTGTTAGTAGAAATTTGATTTAGTATTAAAAGCCTTTGAAGTCATTGCCAAATTATTAAATCCTTACAAAACTGTAAAGAATATTGTATGTTAATGATGATAGTAGGATGTTTATTTTAAACTTATTTGGATGTAATTTAAAAAACTTGCAAAAATAAAAAAGTAAAAGAACACCCATATATCCTTTTCCCAAATCTGCTGTTAACATTGCACATTTGCAATATTATTTGCTTTATATGTAGGTATATACATATTTTAAAATCAATCACTTGAGAGTACTTTGTATGCCTGATGATTTTTACTCCTAAGTACTAGAGTGTATATTTTTTAAAAATAGAGATGTTCTCTTATATAATCACAATGTAGTTATTACCTTTATGTCTTATATAGATCTAATATTTTATCTAGTCTATTACATTCCAATTTGTTAGTTGATGTAACAGTATTCTGTTTAAAAAATATATATAATATTTTATTGATTTTTACAGAGAGGAAGGGAGAGGGATAGAAAGTTAGAAACATAGATGAGAAGGAAACATTGATAACCTGCCTCCTGCAAACCCCCTACTGGGGATGTGCCCGTAACCAAGGTGCATGCCCTTGACTGGAATCGAACCTGGGACCTTTCAGTCCTCTGGCCGACGCTCTATCCACTGAACCAAACCAGTCAGGGCTAACAGTATTCTTTACAACACATTTCCCCTCCGGTACAGATTCTAGTCTAGAGTTAGATATTGTATTTGTCATGTATTATTAGCCTCCTTTCATCTGGAATATTTCCATAGCTTGTCTTTGTCTTTTATAACATTAGCATTTTATTTTTATTTTTTTTGAAGAATAGAATCACACACACGTAAAACAGAGTAATTATTACTTTGTTTTTCTGATATTTCACCATGATTACATTGGAGTTACGCATTTTTAGCCAGTATACTGCACAGGTGATAGATAATACAATATATGTGTCCAGGGCATCACCTTCATAGGCATCTGAAGTTCTTTTCTGTCATTGGTGATGTTAATTTTGACCTATCTGTCAAGGTGTTACCTGATTTCTCCACTGTTCCTTTTTTCCCTTCCTTTGCAGATTATAAGTAGTCTGTAGGGAGACATGTTAGGACCGTGCAAATATTCACTCTTTATCAACATTTCCCTCTGGATTGAATATTCATAGAGATTCTTACCAGATTTTTTTTTTAAATATATATTTTATTGATTTTTTACAGAGAGGAAGGGAGAGGGATAGTTAGAAACATCGATGAGAGAGAAACATCAATCAGCTGCCTCCTACACACACACACACACACACACACACACACCTACTGGGGATGTGCCTGCAACCAAGGTACATGCCCTTGACCAGAATCCAACCTGGGACCTTTCAGTCCACAGGCCGATGCTCTATCCACTGAGCCAAACCGGTTCCGGCCAGATTTTATCTTTACCATGCTAATTACAGAATGATTATTTTCAAGCTTGCGCCCTCCGGTCAGCCCTCAGTATTCTGTAAGTGAGAGACCTACCATATATTTTTGTTCATCTATTTCCCAGTGGCCTAATTGCTGAATTTAATTTTGTTTTGTACTCAAACTGTCATCTTCATACTTCCGGCCAAAGATTGAAGGTTTATAGTCAAACATTGTGTTCATAAATTACTTGGGTTCTCTCAAAAGGGAAAAAACTATATTAAGTGGTATACTCAGGTATTGCTGTTTTCCACATATCCTCTTCCCGTTCTCAACCCTCCCCAATCCTGTAGATACCCAAGTCCATTGTTTTCATGTTTATCTTTCCTATGTTTCATATTGTAACAATGATATATGTGTATAGATTTCTTTTCCCTTCTTTCCTACACTGAAGGTAGCAAACTATATATACTATACTAGAGGCCTATACTAGAGCCTAGTGCACAAAAAAATCATGCAATGGGGTGGGGGGTCCTCAGCCCAGATGCACCCTCTTGCAGTCCGGGACCCTTCAGAGGATGTCCATGGGGGAGCGGCCTAAGCTGAAGTTGGACATCCTTAGCCCTGCCGAGGAGGGGGGAGAGGCTTCTGCCACTGCTGCTGCGCTCACAGCCGTCAGTCCGGCTTGTGGCTGAGCAGAGCTCCCCCTGTGGGAACGCACTGACCAGTAAGGGGCAGCTCCTGTGTTGAGCATCTGCCCCCGGTGGTCAGTATACATCATAACAACTGGTAGTTCTGTCGTTAGGGTCAATTTGCTGATTACCCTTTTATTATATAGGATTATTATATAGGATATTTCTTACTTTGTTCACGTCACAGTATCTTCTGGAAATCAGTGTAGATCAATTCATAGAGATCTTCTTCACACTGGTTTAGTTTTTTTTTTACAGCTTCATAGCACTCCATTGTATGTAGGGTGTACAGGTACCATTTATTTAACTTCCTGTGGTTGGATATCCAGGTAGTTTTCAGTATTCTGCACTAACAAGTCATCTTGCACTGAATAAATGTTGTGTGTGTGTGTTTTAATATAGTTGAGGTTGAATGATTCAAGGGTAAATGCATGTTATTTGTTACATTTTGCCAAATTCCCTCTATTGGGGCTGTGCCTTTGGAGCTGAACCATTTTTTTTTTTTTAAAGATGTTGTTGCTACTGATTTTTAAAGAGAGAGGAAGGGAGGAGAAGGAGAGAGAAAGAAAGAGGAAAAAAAATCAGTGTGAGAGCATAATATTGATTAGCTGCCTCCTGCCCACCCCTGACCCAGGTATGTGCCCTCACCAGGAATCGAACTGGCAACCCTTAGGTCACAGATGACAACCAACTGAGCCACACCAGCCAGGTCTGAACCTTTTTTTTTTTTTTTTTTTTTTTTAACATTTCCACCATATATGAGTATGACTATTACTCCATAGAGTGTATTGACAAGCTTTTCAGTTTTTGTTAATCTGATGTATGAGAAATATCTCAGTAAATTTTTGATTTTCATTTATCATGTTGTGAGTAAATTGAACATCTTTTAATATAGCCAAGGACCATGTTTATATCTTTTGTGAATTGTCTATTCATGTCTTTTGCCCATTTTTCTATGGGATATTTGGTAACTTTCTCTTCAGTTTTTAAAGTTGTTTATAAGTTAGGTATATTAGCCCTTAGTCTGTGATACACATTGTGAATATTTTATTCCAGCTTGCTATATGTCTTTTAATTTTGCTTATGGTGTTTTATCATTAGGTGGGTTTTTAATTTTTACATAGTCAAATGTGTCAAATTGATCTGCCTCTAGGTTTGAGTTATATCTAGTTAGAAAGTCTTTCCTTACATTGAAACTAGAAAGAAATGCACGTGGTTTTCTACTAGTATTTGTATAGTTTTATTTTTTACAATTAGATTTCTTATGCTTTTGGAGTTTATTCTTGTGTATGGTATGAGAAAAAAAATCTAATTTTTGTTTTTCTAAGTAGCTATACAGTTGTCCTAATACTTTTTATTAAAAAGACTCGCTTTGCTAGTGATTTGAAATGCCACCTTTATCATATTTGTATATGTAATTGGGTCTGTTTCTGGATAGTTCATTCTGTTTCAGACATCTGTCTATCCATTTGCTAGTACCACACTGTTTTAACTCTATAGGCTTGGTAGTATGTTTTAATATCTGATTGTGCTTAATATCTCCTCCCCCATACCTTTCTTTTCACTCTTTTCCTAGCTGTTCTTATGTGTTATTTTCCCATTATGAATTTTAGAGTCAACTCAGCTATTTTGTTGGGATCACATTAAATTTGCAAACTACTATAGTTTTTGAAACGCTGGTAAAAAATATGTCAATAACTGCTTTTTCTGTAGTGACTGATTTGAATAAATTATTGTAAGTTTTATAATTTATCAACTTATTTTTGTTTGATACATATTTTCACATATCTGTGAAATAATATAGAGGTTAAGTACTGACCGGTTTTCAATTTTTATTTTAGATTTCCATGGTATCAGCAATTCATATTCCTGATAAAACTTATAAACTGTCCTGTAGAATATTATGTCAATATTTACTTCCGACTCAAGGTCAATTTCATGATCTTAAGGTAAGTTGTACTTTGTAGTCTTATCTTTGTCTCTGGTTTGCAGTTTCAAAGAATGACCATTTATCAAGGGATAATATTTTTCAGTTAGTTCCCATCAAAGTTAGCCATTATTTGCTAGCTCATACATTTTGAGCATCTCTTATGACCCCCCGAAGAGTCATTGACATTTGTAATTATCTCTAAACTTGTTTCTCTGATTTTTCAGCAACTTTACATGTCTGCAAATAATAATGCCACTCCTTCGAGCAATTCCTCTCCAGAAGGTGAAAGCACAGACCGAAGCTTGTTGGAAAAGGCTGGACTCTCTGAGAGTGAAGTAGAGCCTCCGGAGGAGAGTAGCAAGGACTGTGTGGTTTGCCAGAATGGGACCGTGAACTGGGTGCTCCTGCCCTGCAGACACACGTGCTTGTGTGACGGCTGTGTGAGGCATTTCCAGCGGTGCCCAATGTGCAGGCAGTTTGTTCAGGAATCGTTTGCACTTCGCAGTCAAAAGGAGCAAGAGAAAGACAAACAGAAAACCCTCTGAGGATGTTGTTACAACTGAAAAGTACAATTACCACTCAAGATGCAGAAATGTGTGTTCTTGGAATCAATCGTAACATGGAATGCGGTGTTGACTGTCAATGACAATTCAATTTTAACTTCATGTTTGTGCGGTACCTGGATGATGAAACTTAATTATTCCTTCCTGTTCCATATGGTAAATGCTGGAATACTATCTGTGTTAAACATAAAAATGCATTCAGCTACTGAGAAGAAAATAAATGCCTGGCCTTTTATCAGCTAGGGGATTTCATGTAATATTAATTAGAACATTTCTAAAAAGCAGTCCATCTAAAATTTGAGGAAGTAAAAGTCTTAAGTTTTCTGAATGTTTTTCCTTGGCCATGATTTAGAGTGCAATTGGGAAAAAATTGAATTCTTCTTAGAGTAATTGTATGTTCCCCAGTTTACAGAGGAATTGACCATGGCTTCTAACTTTAAGTCCTTTCCTAAAATAGCAGTTTTTATAAATATCCATCTGTTTGGTTTCCAATTTTTCTTATAGCCACATAAACACAGTCTTAATTTTTAAACATAGCTTCTTAAATTAGAAATGCAAGATACAATTCTTGACTGTTCTCATTGTGTCATAGATTGAAATGATGCTCATTTATAGGAAGCAGATATATAAAACAAGAATAATAACATTTCTCGGATAATTAAATTTGCTGCCAAATAAGATTAGATTAGCAGGCTGTGGCCTACCGGGGAAGATCTGTGAGAATCACAGTGCCTTACCTTAGTCTCCTCCTGTACAGCAAATCCATCCAAAACGAGGGATTTAGAGCCAGAAAAACCACTAATAGAAACACATGACTTACTTTTTTCTAGTGTGTTTTTATTACAAACTGGGGGCCCAGTGCACCTTGAAAGGAACTATGGGCCACAAGGCTGCTGTGGACACAGGGTTGGGTCTCGGCCCATCCTCCTTGCCCCCACTTGGCCCCTCCCACTGCAGTCCCCAGTCCCCTGTCTGCTGCTGCTGCCACTCCTGCTGCTGCTGCTGCCACTCCTGCTGCTGCCGCCACTCCTGCTGCTGCTGCTCCCCTGTTCGCACCTGCTGATGGCATGGAGCAATTGGGGCTATCCCCAGCAGTGGGTTCGAGCTGCGGCTGCTGCCCCAATCGCCTCTCAGGAGCAGGAAGAGGTGCAGAAACGCTCAGGGACAATCAGGGCTGCCACTCACACTTACTGACAGCGCCAAGTAATCAGGATCGGCCGCTGGGTGCTGGCAGTGGGTGTGAGTGGTGGCTCTGGCTGAAGATTCGAGTGGGGCTGGCGCTAGCAGCGGGTGTGAGCAGGGCCGTTGCCAGCAATGGGTGCAAGAGGTGGCTGCTGGCCCCGATTGCCCCTCAGGAGCAGGGGGAGATGGAGAAGCCCTGAAGGGCGATTTGGGCTGGCAGTCACTGCTCACACCCATTGACGGGCGCCAGCAGCGGGTGCGAGAAGTGGCTCTGGTGCCGGCAGCAGGTGGGAGCAGGGCCGACTCTGGCAGCAGGTGTGAGTGTCAGGCGGGACTGTGGTGCACAGGAGCAAAGAATTTTCAGTAACCACCAGAGGCTCAACCCCATGACAGCAACCAGTGCCCCCCTTGGTCTGGCATTCTCCCCTCCCCCCACCTGCTCCACCATCCCACCTCGACTTATGCTTACTGTGTTCCATGCTCAGCCGCCTGCTATAGCGGCCCACCATATTCCACACATGCCCCCCTGCTGGTCAGCACACATTGTAGCAACCAGATCTGTTGTTCTGCCGTTCTGTTTATTGGCATATTAGGGTTTTATATATATTGATATATAGATAAACCCCACACCCTTCTGAATGGTGACTTTGTTATTCTTTGTTATATTCTTGGAAGAGTTAGGAACCAGATGGGCAAAAAGGCCCATCCCCCACTCTTTCTAAGATGACTAAGAAGACAAAGGTAAATCAGAGTTTCCTGTGTCTTCAGCAGAAATTGCCTTCAACTCACCAAGAAATCAGATCATAGCAAATAAACTGTGACATTCAGGGAGAATTTTAAGCCTTTTTCATCTTGCTTGTATTAAGAATAATGCCTTATCATTGTGTTAACATTTTTACATATCATTTCATTCTAATCAAATATAGCACTCTCAAAGAGACATTACCTAAGCTCTGTTCTATAAACCAAATCAAACTTTTATCTGCATTCAACAGCTGTGTAATAAATACCTTCTTGGGGCCAGATATCTTTGAGGAGTCCGGGCTACACAGAATCAGGAAAGCTCCTGGCCTTAAAGTATTTGTGTCTAAAAAGGAGTATTGGTAGCTTATTAGAAGCACATCCCACCTCAGAAATTCCCAAGGCCTGTTCTAACCCTGCCACTGGAAGCAGGGCGGTCAGAAGCCTCTGTGGTTAGTGGCCAGTATAATTGTTCATCTGAGAAACCCACTTTCTGGTGTAAAATGGGGACTTCAGAGATCACTTCTCCATCCCAGCCATCCTGCTTTCCTTTACAGATCTGTGTGTACCTAAGCTGTCCACCTGTACTCTTACTCCATTTTTCATAACTTTTTATTGTAGTAAAGTATAGCATAAAATTTACCATTTTAACCATTCTGAAGTATATAATTCAGGGGTATTAAGTGCATTCATATTGGTATACAACCATCACCATTATCCATCTTCAGAATTTTTTCATCAACCCAAACTGAAACTCTGGGTCCATCAAATACCGTATTTTTCGGACCATAGACGCTCCGGACCATAAGACGCACCAGTTTTTAGAGAAGGGAAATGAAGAAAAAAAGATTCTGAAACAAATAGTGTCCTAAAATATTTTATGTGCATTAAAACCCAACATCACAGTCATAAACACATGTAATCAACCCTGTAAAGTAAACAGCAGCATTTAGAACCATTTTAGAGCTGGGCAAGCACACAGAGACCACACAGAGCCGGGCAAGTAAGAAAACTTCTTTTTAAAAGTATATGTGTAGGCTATATTTGGACCATAAGACGCAGGGACTTTTTCCCCCCCACTTCTGGGGGGGAAAAAGTGTGTCTTATGGTCCGAAAAATACGGTAATAACTCCCCATAACCCTTTTTCCACTGGTAACCACCAGTATTCTGTATTTATGAACTTGATTGTTCTAGGTACCTCATTTCCATGGATCATATGCCCTTTTCTCTCTGGTTTATTTCACTGAGTAATATTTTCAAGGTTTGTGCTATAATTTGTATCAGGATTTCCTTTCTTTTTAAGGCTGAATATTAACCTATTGTGTAAATATAGTACATTTTGTTTATCTATTCACCCATCATTTTTTATAATTCTATCATATAACTCTTAAAGATGACTTGCCCTTAGCCTCTCTTGTTGCATTTGAAAGAATTATCTTTGCTGCCCTCAGAAATCTGAGGGATTTGGTAGGTAGTGAAGTGAAAACAAGCAAACTGACTCTTAGAGGCTTATGCCAGAATTTTCCAGTAACAATGAATAGTGACATTGTGCAAGAATGTCAACAAAAGCATTGCAGTTGAATGTATTTTGAGATAAAATAGTTGGTTTATATCGATTAGTTGTTACTTTCTGAAAATACAAGTAGGAATGCCAAATAAACAGGTGAATATAGTAATCTGAAGTTCAGGGGAAAGGTCTGGCTGAAGTTAGACATTTGGGGGTCTGCAGTGTGGTATTTAAACCCATAAATCTGCATGAGAACGCCAAGGGAGTGAGCACAGACTGGGGGAAGACCCAACTGTCTGGGAGACTGGGAGGAACCAGCAGATTGAGAAGACTGAGGTAGGAAGAAAACCAGAAGAGTGGTGTTTACAAACTATCCCCAAAAGGAGTGGTATAAAACAACCACTTTTATTATGCTCACCGAATCTGTGCTCAGATATTGGGATCGGATGTAGCGGGGTTGGGCCTACCTGGGATTCAAATGACAGATTGACTTGGGGGCTAAAGTCTTGTTCACTCATGTATTTGGTGTGTGGAGCTGGGCTGAGCTGGGACTGAGCTGGGCTGAGCTAGGACAACATGTGGCCTCTCCATGTGGCTTGATCTGCATCACAGCCTGATGGTCTCATGTTAGTCAATTTCTTACTTGTAAGTGGGAGCTCAGGATCCCAAGAGCAAGTGTTCTAGGAACAGGGCAAAAGCTTCATGGCCTTTTCTCTCTCCTTTTTTCCAGCCTAATGGAGATGCAGTTTACAAGCATACAATTTCCCATTCAAAATGTACCACTCAATAGTTTTAATTACTCAGGATCTTCCAATCACCACTATAGTCAACTTCAGAATGTTTTAATTACTCTTAAAAAGAACTTGTGCACATTAGCAGTTACCCCTGTCCCTCACCATGTTCCCCAACCCCAGGCAACTTCCAATCTACTTTCTGTCTCCATAGATTTGCCTGCTCTGGACATCCCATGGAATGAAATCGTATAGAATCACAAATGGGATCACACAATGTGGCCTTTTGTAACATCACTTAGCACGATATTTTTAAGGTTCATCCATGTTATAGCATGAATTAGTTTTTTTCCCCTTTTTATTGCCCCCAAAGTATTCCATTGTATAAGATATACTAATACTGCATTGTGTCTACTATTGATGGACATTTGGATTTGTCTGCTTTTTAGTTATTAGGAATAAGGCTGCTGTGAACATTGGTTGCAAGAGTTCAGTTTTAGACATTTCAAGTTTGAGATGTGATGTGAAGCCTGCCTTGTTTGTTCTATTTAATTATATAGTTGACCTTCCAGGCATTTAATCCCTTCTGTGTTTTTCATAGCCATGTCTTACAGAAATTCTGCAAACATATACCAAGCACAGGACTGAGTCAGTCAGGTTAGGAGGAGGACTAGCTGCCATACACTTTTTGCACTCTATAAACTGTATTTGTGCCAGCGATTAAGCTATTGTCTCCCAGTTCCAAGCCCACTCCCTATGGGGCTTTGCAAATCAGAGCCATAGGAGGGGGAGATAGGAGATAGAAGAGATCCGCTCCTTCCTGTATCCTGTGGCTTTTCTGTTCCTGGGAACATCACTCCAACCAGGCTTCTTTATCTTGGCAGTAGCGATTGATTCCAGGAGCAAAGATTGAATCCAGAGTGGAACCTGCTTCCTCACCCCCATCCACCTCAGGACACCAGCAACACCCCATCCTCAGAGGTCCAAGTAGTCCAGCTCTGCAGGGCCCCTCCTCCAGACTCCTAAATTTTTATAACTGCAACTTCTTCACTTTGTCTCCCAGCCCTGTGGATGGTAATTGCTTCCTGCATTGCTGCCTCAGAGATATCCTCATGTTCCTCTTTCCACTTTTCAGTAAACAACTCTATATTAATATCTTGGATAAAATAATCATCGCCTTTTCAGTCTCCTGACTCCCCTAAATTGATCCAATTGGATGTTATCTCCTGTAATCCTGGCTCACTTTGCTAAGGTAGACAGAAAACTGAGACCAATTTTGGTTAAATAGCCCATATTGTACAGCTATGAGGTGGTTGAGTTGGGATTTGAATCCAATTTTGCTTTGCTTTGTTTTGCCTGAAGCTTGCGTTCTTCATCACTAGTCACCTTCCTACAGAAAAACACATA